TTTTTTTTTTTCCCCCTTTTTTTTTTTTTTTTGTCAATGGGAACAAATTTTAGAAACAATTGTAAAAGAGAATATCCCTTAAATTGACAATTTTCATGTAAAATAAAACCAAACGAACGCCAAAATGCAAATGATTTTCAAATTTGATTTGATTTTTTTTTTTTGGCAATGAAAACAAATTCTATGACCAATTGTAGAAATAAATATCCCTTATATTGACAATTTTCATAAAAAATAAAGCCAAACGAACATCAAAAGACACTTTTTTTTCAACATTTTCCACGTGAAAAATTATACCAATCAAACACAATAATTGACGATTCCCAATAAAACAATTTCCAGACAATTCAATTCCCTATAATTCTTTTTCTTTCCACCCAAATTTCATTTTTGCAATCAAACGGACCCTTATAGACATCTTCCATCTCCAACCAAACTGCCGCTAAGGTAATCTACAAATTTCCTAAAGATATCTTGCTGGGTCCGAATGAAACTTGAAGAATCCAGTACAGTAATAACCATGTCGTGTCAACACACTACTCCGTCGGAATGGAGAGTCCAAGCATCACAGATTGAGGCTTATGCATCGAGGCGATTGTGGTTTGTGCCATTTGTCTTGCCTTCCATGAGATTTTTATTGATGGCCTCAAGTTTTGGAGTGGTTCTTCCTTTAGCTTAGAATGTATTGTGGAATTTTTTGTTTTCAACCTTTACCAAAAAAGGGAAGGAGGAGAAAACACCATTGCAAATGAAGGATGCTAACAAGAAATGAGAAGAAACTACAAGCAAGATAGGATCATCTGATCACTACCTGGTTTGATTTTTTTTATCGATATTGGTGTTCAATCAGCCAAAAAAAGGTCGAACTAATTTCGTATAGAAAGAAAGATGTGGGTTTTCAGTTATGGATCAAAATGAAATCCCCGAAAACCAGGGCTGGAGTATTAAACTATTTTTCTTTCAATAAAGGACATCCATTGGGTGGAATATAAAAATATATTCTATATTGCATTCATTTTCAGTACTAGATTACAATTTTGTTGCATGATTACTAATTTGCAAACTTACTATTTTGCAATGTAATTATTAATTACCTTTTATACAATTTATTTTCTAAATAGGAAATGCATGCAAATGACTGACTTGGCACGCCATATGTTAAACGTCATCGAATTCATAGGTCTTGATGGTAATTGCATTGTTTGCACAATGACACCATTTAACATGACAAATTTGATAAATAACTATGGCAAAGGTAGTTTGCACATGGTTGCATGTCCAACATTCTAAATTCAGGTCCAGCCATGCAAATTCAGTTTCATTTCTCTTCTAAAATGTTCAAGCCAACCAAAAAGTAAAAGGAGCTATTTGAGTTGATATAGACAGAGTAAGATTCCCAAATAAAAATAACATCTCATACCTATTTTGAGTTAAGAATTTTAAGCTCATTATTTAGATGAATCATCAGCCTTAAATATCATGATATTCAATTAGGTTGGCCCTATGAAGTACAATGCTTAAATAAATAAAGCAAATCATGCTGTCCAAACGGGATAGAAAATGCAATTAAGAAAACTATGAAGCAGTACTTGTCTTTAAGTTGCACGTAATAAAAGAATCTAGCAAATAATAAAGATAGCAAAAAAGAAGAACAAGAACCTAGAAGGAATCCTTCTCCTTTTCTCCACTAAAGGCATGTGTAGCATTATCTTGCCAAAAAAATAAATAAATAAATAAATGCCACATGCCTTTAAAGGGAGGAGTATCATTTAGCAATATGGCCTTCATGCACTGAGATCTAAAATAGTCAAACTCTGGAATATCATATTTGAAAGATAGCTTTCCCTAATGATTTCCCATTCACCGTCCCAAGAAGATCTCTACGCACTAGTGTAGTCCATGACCAGTGAGATCTTCCAGTCCACGTGCATGGGAGCAGCTCAAACGAAAAAGAGTCTAGTCTGATCTGAACTTAGGCATGGCCCGCCAGTCTACCGCTAGGTCTGATCTACGGCACCCACGATTCCAAGTAGTAAGTCATCGGCATACATCCTTATTAGGTAATGGATTTTAAGGGGGCCAGGCATCTCTTTGACTTCTCTCTCTCACATGATAACTAGTATTGCCTCCTCGGCTAGCTCTATCAACAGGACCTTCCTTTTGCAAGAATTGAAAAAGTCTCTCACGGCTCAATTATTATTACAGCATTCTCCATATAGAATTCGGCCTTCGAGGTCAATCTGGAGACTTCTATAAGGAAGGTGGCGCAAAGGAGGCTTGAGAGTTTGTTAAGGAAGCGTGCATGGCCGATAAAGTGGGGAAAACGAAAAATATTTTCTAGTCCCTTGAGCCAAGGGGTGCTTGTGTTCCATGACTTTTTTAACTTTTTGTTCATGACGGTGTGCTTGTCACTTCCTTGAGTATACTTATGATGAATCTGATCATATTAGTCACGTCCTGAAAGACTCTTCTATACATGAGTGCAATCATTTCTAAAACTACTGAAGTCCTCAAACTCTCTTTTAGATGCAACCCCACCCCGTGAAAAGAACGGAGAGAAGGAGAGTTCATCTTGTTTATCTGTAATTAACAAAATTATTCTATCAGACGTCTTTGTAAACATGTATATTCAGTAACCTACTGCCTAAGCATGGGTTCCTATTTTTCAATTGGACATCATGATATAGGTATGTAATGGGAGGAAATGAGGAGTTTCTTTTAAAGAAGTCGGCCAAAATATTTAATTAAAATGGTCATGAGATTCCGATTTACAAGAAGTCACCAGAATTTGGATATTTGCAACATGGAACGAATATGGTTAAAAAGAACAAAAATTTCCAGGAAGACCATAATCATAACCGGAATTACATTGTGTATTAACTATTAGAAGACGTGCCAAAATTCTAATATTATAAAAAATTTATGAAGAGAATATGAAGAGTTCCTTCTAAAAATGATAAGAGCAAAATAACTAATGTTAATGCTCACGAGATCGACATTTACTAGAATTCTTGAGGAAAACTTGAGTTATTTACAGGATGAACTAATCTAGTATAAAATAAAAGGTCACAACAAGATCATTAACTTAAATCTCACTCTATGAAAAAAATACTCAAATTTATACTCATATTACTCTTCATACATAAGATATCAATCACACAGCTAATACGACGCCATTAATAATTTTTTTTTTACAAATTACAAACAACCCACATGAAATTAACATAAGCAAGACTTCAAAATCTTACAACAGCACGAAATTTAAAAACAAAATCGAGAGAAAAAGAAACACGCTAATATACAATCCACAGTAAAGTTTTTGTATAAAACAAATGAAAGAGAAAACATACATCGTATTGATCCAAACTGTCTCCATTAAACCCTTGACGGAGTTATCACCTTTCCCTGGTTTTCAAGAAAAAAGAAAAGAAAATATTCAGTAAACCCACATTGCTAAAAAGAGAACAAAAAAACGATATCTTTAGGAATTTTCGATATGAACCCAGAATCAAAATCGAATTTTTTGGCCTGGAATTTGAGATAAGATCTTCCAGGGATAACAGTGGCGTTCCGTTTCATCAGAATTCGTCCTTCTTTCATACGGTACTAGCGTGATCTCCATTGATGATTTCATTGGACATTATCGTTGTCCTTGAACGCTGCGATTTTCCTATAAAGTTATGTACCGAGTCCCAAAGAACGTGTAATAAAAAGGGGAAATAGGAAATGACCCAAATGGAAAGGCCATTTTTGCGTTTGGCTAATTTTAATACCCAAAATATTTCTTTGTAATATTACATAATAAATT